TGAAAGCTTAGCATATAGAAGGTAATACAGTGGTTACATTGCTCTGAAGAACGGAACTAAAGCATATTCCTTCTTAAAGGTTAAGTAAAATATGGTTAAATGATACATAGGGAAATCATTTCCTTTCTCAGTGACTTGTTTATGGAAATCTAACCTCTGGTGCATAAAAGAATATGCACCTTCATATGATTCTCAATATCTTCCACTGGAAGGGTGTATTGAAGGTGGACACATGCAACTTACATACTTTGAAGTTCATGTTTGAGGCATGTCAGTCCATTTTCACAAGCTCAAAGCAGCACAGGAAGAAGCAGATGAGGGAGCTGGCATTGAAACACCCCACTTTGAAGACAAGACACTTGGGACTTTATGGTATTGCTGAGACATTTTCTCGAACTTCCCTCATGCTGTTAAAGAAACAAGTGGCCAACTCCTTGGTGACTCAGGCGAACAGTTGACGCTGGTGTCTCAATCACCTGGACAAGGTGGTAGTGCACAGAATTGTCTCTGCTCAGAAGGGTGGGATATAAGTCTCTTGAATTTGCTCCAGTTCTTCAGTGATGACTGGCAGAAGCTGGGCCAGAAGTGCACAGGCCTACAGACCTCTTGTAGTAGCATAAACAGGGAAGGCAGGCCAGGTGAAATACAACTGAGAGTGGAGAGTGAAAAAGGCGCTGTCTAACCGGAACCGCAACTGTTCAGTTACAACTCAAAATTGCCATTGCAAAAGTCCGGGTAATGCCAGATTCTTTAGTTTAGTTTTTTTTTTTTTTTTCCAGAAATGCCAAAAATATTTCACATAAAATCATCAGTTTTGTTAAAGAAATAGTTGTTTTTAAAAATGACCTAATTTTAGATTTACAGAAAAGTTGCAAAAGTAACCCAGTATAAGTTTCCTAGGGCAATTGGGTCACTTGGTATCTGAAAACAACCAAAATTTGCTCTCTTAGTTTGAGGGCCAGAAGTTTGAAAATAAAGTGTTTGCAGGGTTGAAGGGAATTAATGTACTCCATGTCTCTCTTCTAGCTCCTGTTGACTACCAGCAATCCTTGGAATTCCTGGGTGTGCAAATGCCTCACACTGATGTTTGCCTATGTCTTCACATGACCTTCTCTCTGGAACTTCTCTTTTGTATCAGTGTCTGAGATCTCCCTCTCCTAACTCTTACAAGGACACTAGTCTTTCGAATTTAAGAATAACCCTAAATCCAGAATTATTTTATTTATGGTTCCTTATCTTAATTTCATCTTTGTAAAGACCCTATTTCCAAATAAGTTCACATTAATAGGTACTGACAATGAGGACTAGGACTTGGACATACTGTTTTGGATATTCAGCCCATTATATCCAGATTCCTCTATTTTTAGCATCTTAATCAACTATATTATAATTATCAGCTAAAATTCAACATTGGTACAATACTATTAAATGCAGATTTGTGTGGATATGACCAGTTTTTCTATTGTACAGAAAAGCATTAACAAAGTAGGACCGAATTGGTCAAATCTTGCATGTTCCACAGACCCGTCTTCAGAAATGAATCTTGACTGGCTTCTGGAAGGAACCTCTGAGCCCTTGGGGTATTCTGTATGATAAGAATATTTTTGGTTGCTTGGAGTGAGGCCTTGGGCCACACTGTATTAGACTGACTAGGTTGTTTACGCTAACCACATGATTTATGGGGAGAATCTGTTTCTATGTCTGTGCTTTAAGTTACCCCATATTGGTTTGACATTTCAGAGGTGCTTTAGACAAAACAGCTAAGGTCAATCATAAGAGCACTGCATGTGGAAAGGACTGCTCCTGGATATAAACGTGGACACAGGTTTAGGGGAGCATGGTTGACATCAGTATGATCATACATCGTCCCTGGGAGAATTAAAAATTTCTGTGCAACCTCATTGGGAGAGGACTGCTAGAGTTGTGCCTGGTCCCTCCTGGACTTTTCCTCATTTGCATTTTCCCTTTGCTGAGCTTAATCCTAATCCTTGCACAGTCATCAACTGTAACATGATTATAACAGCTTTTTCATGACCTGGTGAATCCTTATGGGGTCACTGAACTTGATGGTAGTCTTGGATACCTCCCTGACATTCACTAATGGCCTGCTTTCTGTTCCCACATTAAATCCAGAATGTCCTTTGTCTCTTCAATCAGTGATGTTTTAGTCAGATTTTTTGTTCTGTGACGAAGTGACCTGAACAGCACAACTGTAGAGGAGGAAAAGTTTATTTGAGGGTCCATAGTTTCAGAGGTCTCAGTCATAGAGGAACAGCTCCATTCTTTGGAGCTCAAGGTAAGGCAGGACATCATGGCAGAAGAGTGTGACAGAGGGAAGCAGCTCATATGTTGATCAGAAAAGAGGGAGAGACTCCTATTGCCAGGTACTAATATACATCCAAAGCCACACCCCAATTTCCACCTCCTCCAACCATTCCCTGGAACTTCAGTTACCACTTTGTTAATCCGTATAAGGGGATTAAAATCACTGATTGGGATAAGACTCTCACAACCCAATCATTTCTCCTCTAAACCTTCTTGCATTGTCTCATACATGAGCTTTTGGGGGACACCACACGTGAATCACAACATTCTTCCCCTGGCCCCAAAAGCTCACAACCATCTCACAATGCAAAATACATTTGTTCCCAAGAGTCCTCACAGCCTCAACAGTTCCGGGATTGCTCAAAGTTCAAGTCCAATGACTTCTCTGAAGCTCAAAGAAATCTCTCATTGTGAGCTTCTATAAAATTAAAAGCAGCTTACAAATATTCAATATATAATGATACAGAGTAAACATTTCCATCCACAAAATTAGGGACATAGAAAGAATGGATAGGATCAAAACGAAGCCTATGGAGTGGATATGTCTTTCTTATGGTGATGTTAGAAACATAAGAAGCCAAAGGGGTGTTGGGGGCAGAGGGGAGAAGAAGGGAAGGAAAACCATACAATGTCTCTTGAGGCCTACACTCTGAATAGGACCCTTCTCATTTCTATCTCATTCTATTGGCCAAGAAAGTCATATGGCCAAACCCAGATTCAAGAGGCAGAGAGATGATTCCACCTTTTATTCTAAGGGGAACTGCCAAGTCACATGCCAAGAGCTTAACTGCTGGAAAGAGTGAAAAAATGGGGCCATGAATACAATTTTCTTCAGACACCATAAAGAGGAAAAAGACAACCCAGAGAATGGGACAGGTTTGTCACCATGTAACCATGTAACTCCTTCCCTTGTTTTATGCTACACTATTGTAGAAAACACTACTCTTACTGATTCATTTCATTATTAACAGATAGTCATGTTGTTTCTAGGTTGGGGCTACAATGACAAATGCTGCCAGGTATCTTGAAACATGTGGGCACACATTTCTGTTGCATATGTGCCTGTCAGGGAGTGGAATTGGCTGAATCATGAGATATGCACATTTTCACTTTAGGTAAACAATGCTAAACTCTTTCCCCGATGCTCAGGTCACTTTACACCCTCACCAGCAGTGTATGAGATTCCTGTTGTACAACATTCTAGACAAAATTTGGTGAAGGAGTTGATTTCTGTATATGGTGTTAGGCAGAAATAAATTGTACTCTAAAAAATAACATGGTAAACTGATGATCTCCTATCCTCTTATTGCAAAGACAGATCTATCCCACCCTCTTCTGTCATTTATCAAGATTCTATATACATAGATCTGTTTCTAATACATAGATTATAGAAATTATGTCTATTTTTTTGTGAACCAATATAAATTATTTAAATCATATCATTTTTTATATTTCTTGATATCTAGTAGAGAAATACTTCCTGAGTATGGGAAGTATTAACCAAGACAAATAGCCAAGTAATAACCAAGACAAATAGCCAAGAATAACCAAGACAAATACTTCCTGTCTTGGTTATTCTTGGCTCTTTACATTTTCCCTTTTTGTTTTATTAAAGTTTAATTTACAAACTACAAAATTTACCTCTTTGTCTATAGTTCTGCTACTTTGTTTTGTGTGTACTGGGAATTGAACCAAGGGTTGCTTTACACAGACCTACATGCCAAGCTTTCTATGAATTTTGAGACAGGGTCTAAGTTGCTTAGGGACTCACTAAGTTGCTGAGACTGGCTTCAATTAGTGATCCTCTTGCCTCAACCTCCCAGTTTCTGGAATTACAGGTGTATACCTGTATACCTGGCCATCAGTTCTGCTACTTTTGATGAAAATATAGTCAGGTTATCACAATCCAGATTCAGATTCAAAGAACACAGTCTCTCTGTTGTGCTTAGTGGTAGAGAGCTTGCCTGTCCTGCACAAGAGCCTGGGTTCAATGTACCAGCACTGCAAAGAAACAATTCCCCTGGGATTCTCTGTAGTTCACCTCTCTCTACCTCCAGCCCCTGGCATCCAATGGTCTGTCTTCTTTTCCAAAAGCCATGTGAGTGGAATCATGTACTTTTGAATCTGTTTTTTCCTTTAGCATAAAGTAAACTTAGTTTATATCAGACTGCATGTTATTGCTGAGAAGCATTTTACAGTATGGACATACCATGGTTTGCTTATCCATTCGTCAGCTAAATGACAATTGAACTGTTTCCAGATTGAGGTGATTACAAATAAAGCAACTATAAACATGTATTTTGAACAATACTTTTATTACAAAATTTGAAAAATATTTATTAAGAAATGCCTCAGGAGAATGGGAGAAAGGACAGAGGAGCAGGGCAGAGGGAGTGTCCCAGGGAAGCCACCTCTGATGTCTTCTGCAGGTGGGGGCAGAGGAGACTCCTGATGTCCAGGTGGATGCAGAAGTGCTCTGGGCTGGAACCCATGCAGAGACATCTGAGGTGATTGGCACATCTTCTCCTGTAGCTGTTCAGAGTCCACATGACTGAGGCCCAGGCAAGGTGTCAGGATCCACAGAGAACAGGGTCCTCTGGCTGTCCCTTGGTATTGTCTGGTCAGCTTTCCCCTTCATTGGAGCCTCACTTCATGAATCTGGCAGGTTTCTGCTCTTACATTGGAGCCACCCCATTGCTGACACGTGGTATGCAACAGCACAATTGTCGGACACAGGTAGCAATCCCCCTAGTTACCCTCTTCCAGAGCTTTCTGCTGGCGTGGAGTTGCCCAGAGTCAGACTGGGAGGCTAACCCAGGTGTGGGGGTTCTTGCAGGCGGGAAGTGGAAGTGAATAGGCGGCTGGCTGGCCGTCCTGATGTGCTTCTGCCCTGAGCATTTGGCCTCCTCAGGCAGAGGAAGCTCACAGGGCAAGGAGAAGGTGCGAAGGACAGGCTCACTGGGGCTCCTTATTGGGAGGACAAGGGAATGGGAATGATCCAGGGAGCATGGCTGAAGCTGAACCAAGGGAGGCACAGGCTTCCCCTGGAACATGAAGCCCTGCCCCTGGCTTTTCTGGTGCTGGAGCAGAAGGTAGGTAGCCATGGCTCCATTGAACTTTCTCTTGGCCAGGGACATCCAGGTCTTGCGTAGATCATAACCCATATCAAACATTATGGTCAGTATTTCGGGGTCTGGSTGTTTGAGGAGTGCCTCATGATAATGAGGGGGTAAATGCCGCTCACCCTGCATCAGCCATATGTGCTGAAGGATCTGCTTGGCTGTGGGCCGCTTCCTGGGGTCCAGGGTCAGCATTTGGTAAATGAGCATCCGTGCTGCCAGAGAAACATGGGGAGGGTCACGGTACAATCCCAGCACGATCTGCCGTATCGTCTCCTTACGGGTGGATCCCATAAATGGGAGCTCCCCTGTCAACATAAAATACAAAATGACGCCCAGGCTCCAGATGTCCACTGGGGGGCCCTCATATGTTCGCCTCTGGATAATTTCAGGGGCAATGTGTGAGAGAGTGCCCCAGGACTCCTTCAGTCTATGGCCTGGTGTGACCCAGGTGCTGAAGCCAAAATCGATAAGTTTAATGTGACCTTTGTCATCCAGCATGATGTTCTTTGGCTTCAGGTCTCGGTGCACCATGCCCTTGTCATGGCAGTAGGCTACGGCACACACTACCTCCCGGAACAGTC